TGCACACGGATGGCTGTTCCCACATAAGCCAAATGCTAAATTGAAAATGCTTAATTAGCTTATTTTTAATTATTTGGACTGTTCAAAAATAATTGTATGTATTATCATGAATAATGTATGTCATTTTCTTGCTAAAACAATATGTATAAAGGGGATATGCATTTTAAAATATGAACAAGGACTCAGAGTTTATGATATCTATTTACAAGAATGGCAGCAATATATAAATGGCTACTACGACCAAGCAAGCAAAATCTCACTACTGCTGTTATCTATCCCAACATTTAATTTGATTATTAAATCTATAGTACAGATTGTATTCTACTCAATCACTCTAGGTTCTTCGGAGGAAACTTTAAAACTCTCCAGGTGCATACTCACAATACATGTGTGCACAGGCATGCACATACAAAACACCCCACAGGAGAAAAAACAATAGAGCCTATTCAGGTAGATGCTTGCCAAAACATCCTTCTTGAAATATCCAAATAACGAATGCAGAACTGTTTCTTTCTAAAATACATGACTATCATAATTCTCTATTTGCCTACTAAGCTGTGATGTGAATATACAACAATATTTCAGTCATATACTGAGTTCATTAATTCTAATAATCTCTATACCCATATTTATTATCTAAATATAATCCATGTATGAAAAAGGACACTTGTTGAAATCTCTATAGCTTTCTGTAGACATGTATGTAGTCAATGGCTCACAGGTGGAAATTAAACAACAAATGCCAAAAGAGAAAATGGAAGTGAAGAAAGCCTCAGATTCATATTTTTAAAATCAATAATAATATGCATTATTAAAACACCTGAGCAACTTGTTGGGAAAGTGAACAGCATTATAAATCAGACAACCTGACATACAAATTAAACCACACCTTCTGATCCACTGGGCTGTTAGCAAGTGACTCCACCTGAGTCGTTTTACTTCATTTGTCAAGTAGGAAAAATTATAGTAATTTCTCACAGCACTGTTGACAGGATTAAATAAAAAAGGCATGGAAATAGTTTAACACTGTGATGCACTGGTCTCAAAATAAATATATAAAGTATAGGTTACAATTATTCCTACTTTATTACAACCATTTGGAGGCATGCAAGAAACCATAATGCTTACCTTGGGCTGGTTTCTCTAGAGGAGCACACCCGGTGGAGGGTAGAAACATTAAGTATCCATAGAGAGATGGGTTTCAAGGACAAGTCTTAAACCCACGGGTCAGGTGTCAGGCTGGAAGCTTCTCTTGACGTGGGAGGTTTCGGGGGCTGACCATTCAAAATTGGCAGTGAGACGACCGTCTGCTGGCTCACATCTCAAGAACCAACAATCAGAAGACAAATCAGGTGCAGCTTTGCCAGAACATCCACATAGCCATACCATCAAGGAACCCACATCAGAGCAGGAAATGGGGGCTGGTTACATGGTATCTTTCTATATTTTCTATCCAAAACACTGAGGATAGAAAAAAAATTTATATATATTTGAGATTTCTATTTCTTCCCTAATAACAGTAGTCCTGGTGCTCAGTGGTTCATCATTAACTGCTGACTGGAAAGTCACTGGTTTAAACCCACCAGCTTTTTAGCCCCAACAGACTTTGAACCCATGCGGTTGTTGTTTTCAGCAGGTTCATGGAATGAAATGCCTTAAACCACCAAATGTTTCTGTCTCCTGACAGAAATTGTGCTTCACATGGAACAGTCCTGTGTGGAGCTGCCTGGGCTTCGATGAGTGGCATTCTTTCATTCACTGAGGAAACAAACACGACAAATAAATACGGTTTCGGCCTCCTAACATTCCAAAGGCATTCAACAAAATCTCAGAATTGGTGTTGGCAGGACTGTTCTGGTGCCAAAGCTGGAACAAAAAAGAACAAAGTGTGTTGTTTATTTTAAAGAACTAAGAGATTCATGTCTACGACAGTTTGAATCCACCAGGGTTGCCACAGATGCAAGGCCCAGAAACGGGCATCTGAGATAACTGCCACTGGTCACCGGATGGAGGTAGTCCTCTGCCAGTCATGGCACAGGGAATGCTGGGAAACTCGATCCCTGTGGGGTTGTGCTTCTTGGGGTTACCGTTTGTGGAACCGTTAGGTTGATTGACATTTTCAGTGCCAATATCTGATTTGGGATATTGTTTGACTACCTGCAAGCATGAGCAGCCTTGCGAACACATTGAGCCTTCCCTTGAACGTAGTCTGGGGCAGCCTTGAGAAAGGTTGCTTGTTGCATTTCATCCAGACAGCTCAGCTTCATCACTGGCCAGAGATGAGTCTGGCTTCTGTGAACCTCAGTCTCCTCCTTTGCAAAACGTATGGCCAGCGACGTGGTTGGTCAGGTGACTGGGTCATTTAGCACTTTCTCTTTTGAAAGCAAGCACCAGGTGTTAAAGCTACTTTCTGCTGACACTAAAAGATACGATAACAATCCCCTGGCTCATCGGGGAATTCCTGCTGTAAGATACTCACTTGCCCTTGGGATAGAATAATGATCAAAAGACCCTCCCCAGAGCAACTGTTACCTGTCAGGTTCACTTTATTAGTCCAACACCATCTGTTTTTACTTCCTTACAAATTAGTGCAAAATCTATCGAAAACTTGCCCCATTTTCATGAATTCATTAATTTGTTTCTGACTAAATAATCAACAGACGTGAGACGATCCCCCTCTAGCTCCGTATTTGGTCCTGGGAGCGTCTCACCTGAACGTAGTCAGCAAGTTCTAAGCAAGAGGCCTCTTGGTTGGAATGGGGGGAATGAAAGGGGAGGAGGAATAGGTGGCGAGAGATGGAAGCCGAAGTTTTACAGCTACTTGGCCTGGTGGGCACACCCAAATGGAGTTATGCAGAGATTGAAGGAGATCCTTACCAAGTCTCAGATTTAGGTTTTGAGTGTAGGTAGACAGAGGCTGAGATAACAAAACACCCTTGAGGGTAACGAGAAAGCAGCAAGGCAGGACCCAGCAAGATGTATCTGCCTAATATTGACACTGAGGTGTTCTCTGTTCTCCAAATGAATATGTGGCAATTCAGAGTGAAACAGCAAAGGAAAACCTGCCAAAGCTTCCTTCTATACTACAGACTTGCATGTGTACTTATTAGATGGGCCTACCTCTCTGCTGGGCTGCCTGAGTGGTGCAAAGAATTAATGCACCTGGCTGCTCTGTGAAAGGTCAGACATCTGAGTGTGCCAGAGGCGCCTCTGAAGAAAGGTGTGGTGATCGAACTCTGAAAAATCAGCTGTTGAAACCCCTGTAGAGCTGGTTTTAAGGAAAAGGAAGGTCAAATAGTATAGCATAGACCACAAAGCCAATGTTCTACATTCTACATTGGCCACTAGCCACTGAGATCTTAAAAGCTTGTGGGCAGCCATCTAAGGTGCGAATATTGGTCTATCCTTCGCTGGGAGAAGTAAAAGTGAAGACAATCCAAGTCTTTTGGGAATGATTGTCTAATGGGCCAATGGACCACTTTAATATGCATCTACGTGATCCTGAAACTAGAAGAGCTAGATGATGCCTAGCTACCATTAGCAGCTGATCCCAAAGGGCTCAGGTTAGAAGGTCCCAGATGAAGTGGGAGAAAAATGAGGAACACTCATAACAAAGACCAGGTTTACTGGTAGGATAGAGACCGGTGGAACCCCCAAGAGTCCCCAGCCACCTTTCAGGTCTCAAAATGAACTCACTCCCATGGCTCAATATTTACCCAAGAAATAGACAGGCATATTAAGGAAACAATAACACACAGGGAGGAAGGGCATAAGCAATGTTACATTGTGCGGACTGCCATCAAGGATCTGTAAAAACGTGTATGAATTGTTGAGTGGGAAACCAATCTGCTTTGTAAACCATCAACCAATTCCCGATGAGAAGTCTAAAAGGAGAAGATACACTTGAAAGTAAACCCATAAATTATAAAGAAAATAACACTCGATGAAGCATAGTTTTACTGGGATACACACAGGGTCGCCAGGATCCAGGGTGGACTCAATACCAACTGGTTTACTTCCTTGCTAGATTTATCTCTTTCTCTCTCTTTTCTCTACCTCCCTGTACAGCTGGATCTTGATTTCTTTTGCTTTCCTTTCTTTCTCTATCTCATTCTTTCATTTGTTACCAAGTCAACTATCATTTGGAATTGATATCCTCTGTATTTTTATGGGAGGAGCCCTGTGGCATAGTGGATTACCCATTGGCTGCTAACCTCAAGGTCAGCAGTTTGATACCACCAGCTGCTCTTTGGGAGAAAAATGGGACTCTCTCCTCCCATAAAGAGTTACCGTCCCAGAACCCCACACGGGGTAGTTTCTCCCTGTCCTATAGGGTGGCTTTGAGTTGGAATCAACTCAATGGCAGTAAGTTTGGGGACTGAGTATTTTTATGCAAGGAGTTCTCGTAGCACAATGGGTAACAACACATTGGGCTGCTAACCAGCTGCTAACTATAAGCAAGATCAGCAGTTCAAGCCCACCAGCAGTTCTGCTGGAGAAAAAGAAAGTTTTCTGCTCCTGTGAAGATTTACAACCTAGAAAATCCATGGGGTCATTCCACTCTGCCCTATAGTCACTGTGTGTCAGAATCAACTTGATGGCACTGGGTGAGTATTTTCATTCGAGGAGCCTAAGGGCCCAGTGGTTAAGGGTTCAACTGCTAACCCAAAGGTTGGTGGTTTGAACCCCCCATATGCTCTATGGGGGAAAGATGTCACAACCGCTTTTGTAAAGAGTTATGGCTTTCAGAACTGTAATGAGGCAGTTCGACTCCGGCCTGCAGTGTCATTATGAGTCCACGGTTTGGTATTTTATGCTACTGATTAAAAAAAAGGTATATGTATTTAAAATTTCTAATATGTTCTACAAAAGAAAGCCAAGCAGCTGTGTAGCTGGCCAAATTAAGTCTGCCAGGAATTGTAATTATGATACAAAAGCAAAGAAGCTTTCAGAAGAAAGGCAGAAAATGAACGATACTAATGTCCAGTCTTTGATTTCAGCCTACAAGGAAAAAATGAAGGAGCTCTCCATGCTGTCACTGATCTGCTCTTGCTTTTACCCAGAACCTCGCAACATCAACATCTACACTTACGATGGTGAGTTGTCTGCACCAGACTTGCTTCTGTGGGTCGGATTATTCGGGAAATCTTGGATATGCATGTTTCCCTCTCACAGCTCTTCCTAGCATTAAGTCAGTGTTTTGTAGATTTCTTTGTTGACTTGCTGTGTCTAGCTATCAGGTCTTATTGATGTTCTGATTTAACGCTCAAAACTGTTTGGTGGTTGTGCTACTAACAACACATCGATGTCTCTTAGGAGACAGGCGGGACTGTTATTAGCAGCGGCCTCCGGCATACCAACATCAATAATACTTCTTGGCATGTTTTCTTTAGGAATCATGTGGCAAGCAGTAATTGCAATAGATCATAAGAAGATCATCCTTATCGTTAGAAAATTTGAGAAAGAAATTCAACAGCTGTCGTTGGTTTTGCTACATTGTCATCGTTATAAAGTTCCCAGATTTTGTGTATGCCTGAGAGCAAGCTAACTCGTGCTAAAGAGAAAGCTGACTCATGACTGAGGACCCAGTTAAAGAAAACTCACCTAAGTATTGGCATGGCTATTAACTTTATTGAAGTGAAACCCTGCAGGTGTAATTCTTCCTGATTAATTGTGCTGTTTGGTTTTCTTGCGGGCTCCTTCACTCTCCCCTTGACCTCCGGCAAGTTACTCTGATTTTTCTGAGCCTCGTTTAACTCTAGTATCTTCCCGGAAGGTTTGTTCTTAGGTTTAAATGACTTATTGCATGCTAGGTGCTTAGTACTGAGCTGGAAGTTTTATAAGTACTCAATAAAGAGAGCTATCATTATCAACAATATCATCCTCAATTAATTCAGGCGATGACATTAAAATGTTTGATAGCGTTCACATGGGTAGAAATAGCTGACACCTGTTCACCTCATAGTTATTTCTTGTTTCACGTGTGTAAAGAAAAGCATTAAGGTGAAGGGACCTGTGACAATGAGCTCTCTCTGTGCCTTTAAACGGGATTCAAATGCTTTATCCTGCCAAAGTTACTCCATCATGGCACACGTATCATAAATGTGGACTCTCATCAGCAAATGTGAGAGGGCTTCTGTTTCAAATTAAAATGTTAGAAGGCTTCAGTAAGAACTTGGGCCCATTATCTGCTTTGTAGAAATTCATTCGGCCAACCAAGATACAAGACAGGTCCTTATTCATTTGTTAGGATGATCATGGGGTCTCATTATTATAAAAATTAAAGAAAATGGCAAACTGCTTTGTGACAATAGGCCAGGAAAGCTGCGCTGGTGTGTTTTGCTTTTTCCATCATGACAGTGCATCTGCTTATTCTTCAAGGGCAGCCAGGACTATCCTACAAGAATTTCATTGGGAAACCTTCCCCCATCCACCCACAACTTTGATCTTGCCCCTTCATGCTTCTTTTGGTTCCAATACTCATTTAAAAGGAATATTTAAGAGGAACATGACTTGGATCCCTCAAGGATGTCAAAACTTCCAATTGGGCCTGGCATAAATTGAAATAAGCCGAATTCTTCAGGGAAGGGTGGGAGAGATGGAAACACTCCCTTCAGAAATGTGTAAAACCAGGTGGATGATATGTTGAGAAACAATCGCTTTGTATTCTGATATTTTTGCTTAATAAGGGTTTCTAGCACTTTGTAACATACTTTTTTCTTACCCTTGTCTATATTGCCACCGCTCATCTGTCAGTTTGTCTTACTGTAGGGGCTTGTTGTATTGCTGTGAGGCTGGAAGCTGTGCCTCCAGTACTTCAAGTGTCAGCAGGGTCCCCAAATACAGCATGGTGGACAGAGTTCAGCACCGTTTCCAGACGAAGAACTAGAAAGAAGGAACAGCCAGTTCACTTCTGAGGGACTCGCCACTGGAAACATTAGCAATAGCAAGGAGCACTGTCTGATACAGTGCCGGGAGATGAGCCCTTCAGGTGGGAAGGCACTCAGAAGACAACTGGGAAGAGTCTCTTTTCAAAGCAGGGTCAGCATTAATGGCATGGATGCCATTTCCTTTGCTGGTGGGCCATGACCCAAAAGAGAAGAAAACAGCTATAAATATTGATTAGTCATCAGAGCATGGAATGTATGACATATGAATCCAGGAAATGAGAAAGCTATCAAGGTTTGGAGAGGCTTGAAGGCTGAACAGTAATGGGAGGGGAAATGGGAGTATAGCCTTGATTATACATAAGTTTTGCAAAGGATACTTGTATATGTGTATTTACCTTTGCTGCAAATATATCCATAAGTGTCATAGAGCATACGGGGTACAAAGTTAGGAGAACTTCTGAGACATAAGTCAGCCCCTTGAGGGAATAAGTCACCAGGCCTGGGGGATCTGGACCATCGTCTTGGGGGACACCAAGATTAATTGGCATAACATAGTTCACAAAGACAATGATCTCAAGGCTATTTTGGTGATTAGAAACTGAGGCTTTAAAAGCTTATGAACAACCATCTACATCTCAACTTAGTGGTCTCTCCCCATCTAGAGAAGAGAAATGCATATGGAAATAGTCCAATGCACTAATGGGCCACTTGAATATCGGTCCCCACCTCCTGGGGAGCAGTACAACTAGATAATGCCTGGCCACCACGACCAACTGTTCTAAAAAGAACCACATGAAAAGGGCCTGGATTGAGGGGTGGGGAATGTGAAGCTGAACTGAAAAGGCCTAAGAGAGACTTTACTGACTGCTCAGATAGGCCTTCGAGTCTTTGTTGTCTGGTCACCATCCAGGTCCAGAAGCGAACTCACCTCCATGGTAGAATAATCAAACATTTAAGATAAAAAAGGCGGTATTTGCCCAAATTCAAAATTCCGAAGGTTAAGACAGAAGGAAGAATGAAAACAGTAAGCTCAGAGTGGAAATACCTAAGTGAGGGCGCATTGAGGGGGGTGACAATGGACAAATTGAGACAAAATGTGTATGAATTGTTGAATGTAAAACTGAGTATCTGCTTTGTAAACCATTATAAAATGTTTAAATACATATATAAAGCCCAATGGCCTAGACATTAATGAGCTGAGGTGAACTGGTAGTGGACTTTCTGAATCAGGCGATCTGGGTTATTATGATGAGGAGGGAAAAGTCAAGAGGAATGGTGTCACAGTCCTCACCAAGAAAGAGTGTTTCAGGATCTGTCTCAAAATACAGTACTATCTGGGACAGGATGGCATCCCTATGCCTACACGGGAGACCAGTTAATACAACCACTATTCAACGTTACACACCCACCACTACTGTCAGTGATGCAGAAACTGGGGAATTCTGCTGCCTTCATCGGTCTGAAATTGATCAGATATGCAATCAAGATTCATAGATAATTACTGTTGGAATATGGAAGTTGGAAACAAAGAGGAAGGCTTGGTACTTAGAAAACATGGCCTTGGTGACCAGAACAAAGCCGTGGAAGGTATGATAGAATTTTGCAAAATTACCAACTTCTTCATTGCAAATCCCTTTTTCCAACATCTGGAATGGTGACTACGCACATAGTCCTCACCAGATGGACTAGATAAGAATCAAATTGACTATATCCGTGTGAAGTGATAACGGAGTAGAGCAACACTATCAGGCAAAACAAGGCTGGATCTGACCATGATTTGCTTATGTGTAAGTTGCGATTGACGTTGAAGAAAAAAATAAAACAAGTTCATGAGAGCCAAAATACAAGTTTAAGTAGATCCCACCTGAATTTAGAGACATCTCAAAAATAGATTTGATTGAGTACAAATGATCCAAGATGAGATGAATTTTGACATGATATGTATGGAGAAAACAAATAATCATTAAAAAGAAAGGACCAAAAAAATGCCCAAAGAGTCTCTGAAACTTACTGTTGAATATAGAATAGCTAAAGTGGATAGAAGAAATAATGTAGGGGGGGGAAAAACTTCAATGCATGCCAAAAAACCAAAAACAAAATAAAACTAGTATACAAAATGTTTTGTACACATATACAAAAACCCAGAGTTAGACAAAAAGGAAGAATGTGCTCATCAAATCTCAAGCTAGAGAACTGAAGGGGGAAAAGCCTTGAGTTGCAATAAGGAAATAATTCCATGGGCAAAATATTGAATGATGTAAGTAGCATCAAAATAAGATGGAAGAAATATACAGACACTGCACCCCCAAAAAAGTGTTCAATATTCAGCCATTTTAAGAGGTAGCATATGATCAAAAACAGAGTATTGAAGGAAGAAGTTCAAGCTGCACTGAAAAATATTATATAAAAGCAGGACTTCAGGAATTGACAAAATACCAATGACATGTTTTAAAAACGGAGGCAGTGCTGAAAGCCTTCATTACTCGAAGTATCTAAGCCGAGAAATCTGGAAGACAACTGCTTGCTTGGCCAGACCACAGAAAGAGATCCGTATCTGTACCCATCCCAAAGAATGATCACACAGCAGACAGTTTAAATGATCGAACAATATTATTAATATCACATGCAAGTGAAAGTTTTCTGGAGATAATTCAAAATCCAGACTGAATTCAGATGAGGACATAGAGCAAGGGATATCCTTGCTGATCACAGATGGGTCTTGGCTAACAGAGAATACCAGAAAGATGCTTGTTTGTGTCTTATTGACTACCAAAGGAATTTGACTGTGTATCATAACATACTGTGGGTAATAATATGAAGAATGAGAATTTCAGAACATTCCATTGTGCTCATTTGGAACCTGTACAAAAGCCAAGAGGCAGTTTTACAAACAAAACAAAACAAGTGAATACTGAATGACTTAAAATCAAGAAATATGGAAAGAACTAGGAGGCAAAAGACATTTACAGAGGTCTAAATACAGGCATGTACACATGTAAATATATTTATATACAACAATATGGAAATAGATATATGTGCATTTATATGTTGATATTAAGGTAGCAGACAGACATTGGGCCTACTCAAGTACCCCCTCAACGCAAGAACATTTGTTCTAATAACCCAGCATTCTGTGATACTCACCTTCCTGACAGGATTGCTAAAGACAAAATGGGTGCATAAGCAAATGTAGTGAAGAAAGCTGATGGTGCCTGGTTATCAAAAGACATAGCATCTGGGATCTTAAAAGCTTGCAGATAAACAAGTAGCCATCGAGCTAAGAAGCAACAAAGCCCACATGGAAGAAGCACACCAGCCTGTGTGATCATGAGGTGTTGATGGGATCAAGGATCAGGCATCAAAGACCCAGAACAAAAATCATATTGATGTGAATGAGGGGGAGGGCAGAGTGGAGACCCAAAGCCCATCTGTAGACAATTGGACATCCCCTTACAGAAGGGTCACAAGGAAGAGATGAGCACCAATGAAACATACAACTTTCCTCGAGTTCTTTAATGCTTCCCCACCCCACCCACCCCCGCCACTATCATGGCCTCAATTCTATCTTACAAATCTGGCTAGACCAGAGCATGTGCACTGCTACAGATAAGAGCTTCAAACACAGGGAATCCAGGACAGATAAACCCCTCAGGACTAATAATGAGAGTAGCGATGCCATGAGGGGAAGGGGAAGGTGGGGGAACCATCACAATGATCTACACATAACCCCCTTCCTCGGGGATGGACAACTGAAAAGTGGGTGCAGGGATACAGTAGTTGGTGCAAGACATGAACGATCAAGTGTTCATGAGGGAGGGAAGGTGTGGGTGGGGGTGGGGGGAAAATGAGGAGCTGCTATCAAGGGCTCAACTAGAAAGAAAACGTTTTTTTAATGATGATTGCAACATATGCACAGTTGTACTTCACATAAAGGATGTATGTATGGATTGTGATAACAGCTGTGAGAGCCCCCAATAAAATGATTTTTTTTTAAATCAAGAGATGTGTGTATTGTGTTTGTATCCTTTCCCCGTTCTTAATCTGTATTCTGAGTGAATAATCTGAGAAGCCGGGCTATATGAGGAAGAATTCGGCATCAGTACTGAAAGAAGGCTAATAAACAACTTTCATTGTGAACTTGACACGACTTTGCTGCCTAAAACAGGGAGGATGTGAGGCAGTTGCTGATGAAGATCAAGGAATAGCCTTCATTACGAATGACAACTGCTTTAAAGAAAACAACATCCTTGCCACTTCACCAATAAACATAAAAATAAACGGAGGAAAGACTGAAGTTGTCCAGGACTTCATTTTACTTGGGTGCACAAGCAGTGCTGGAGGAAACCGCAGTCAGGCCACCAAAGCAGGGCTCTGCATCCGCAAATCGGCCACGCAGACCTCTTTAAAGTGCTCAAGCGCAACGACGTCTCTTTGAGAACGAAGATGTGCCCGACCAAAGGCATGGTGTTTTCAATCACCTCAGATGCATCTGAAGGTCAGACACTGAATAACGAAGGCTGAAGACAACTTGAAGCATTTGAGATAAGGTGTTGATGGAGAATATTGAAAGTACCCATTTGGAGGAAGGGAAGGGGAGGGGGGAAAAAAGGAAAATGAGCTGATTCCGGGAACCCAAGAGGCAAGCGAATTTTGGGAATAATGAGGGCAACAAATGTATAGATGTGTTTTATACAATTGATCTATGTATTGTGATGAATTGTATGAGCCCCAATAAATTGATTTTTAAAAAAATAAAAAGAAAGTACCCATTTGTGCTGGAACAGATGCATCTATACAGCGAGAATGCTTAGAAACAAGAGTTATTTTGGACATGTTATCAGGAGGGACCATTCTCTGGAAAAGGAAGCCGTACTTGGTGGAGAGTCCGCGAAGGGGAAGACCTTCAACCTGAGGGATCAACAGTGGCTGCAATCATGGGGTCCAACCAGACACCAGTTGTGGGGAATAATGCAGGCCCAGGCAGGCCCAGTTGTGTGCACACAGCACTGCTGTGAGCCAGAGCTAACATGGAGGCACCCGATGACAACAATGTACATATTGAGTTTGTTACATTTCCATTGTCTTATAGCCCATATTGTCATTAAAGTTCTAAGGTCATTTTACTATAAAGTTTGGGCTTCACTTCCACATATCAGTGTACACTAACTAAGTGGCTAAACACATTCGTGGGAACTCTCCCTTGTCATTATTCTCATGGAGAATCTTCACCAGTCTGGTTTCCACCATTTAAGAAGGAATTCATAAATTAGAGAACATTGAGGTTAGTGATCAGTGTAGTGATAATCAAAAAGCACCGTTACTCTAGAACTGAGAATATTTGCCTAGGAGAGGAAATTGAAATGAAGCCGAAGAACTGTTTTCAAATACCTGAAAGATATTGTTGTGCAGCAGAGAATGGTCTAATCTTTGATAGTTATGGACTCAAAGCAAGAATGAAGTTAAAGGGATGACATTTCAGGCTCAAACTAAAGAATTCACACCTGAAAAGATATGTTTTAAATCATTAGAGCTTACTTACTCGTGAGCCTCGTAAATGTTTAAACCAATGGTAAGTGACTATTTATCATTTTATATTATAAATCGCATTAATCGTATGCTATAAATGCTAGTAAGGAAAGTTAAAACTTTAGGATCTGATCATCTTGTCTTTACCCTTTAGCCACTGATGAGAAAAAAGCTGAATAACCATTCTTCCGTTCTTGGTTTATAAACATCAAAAAATGTATATACAACTCGTAAATTAGAAAAGTAATATCCATGCTCCCTTCTTTCACATCACCTCTTCCTGAAGCCCCTGTCAAGCTGTGCTGGAAAAGGATATTCTAAGTAGCAATGAAATAGGAGCAAAGGTACCACCCACTCACCCCACCCCCAAAAACAACCCAAACACGAGGCCTTGCCTATTCTGCAATTTGACTGGAAGCATCTTGAAGACAGAGACCTCATCACACCATCCCCCGTGGGGAGACCCGACACAAGCTTCGTGAGTCAAACTGAAACACTGACTGAACAGCAAACTAGGAACCAGCAGGATGTTTTGCAAGTCACCCTCCTCTGTGCCAAATATTTCCAACTGCTCAGGGAGCTAAGTTTGTTCTAACACTTCTCCTGTTTTTTCCAATTACAAGATTATATTTGACAACTAGAGAATTATGCTATTTTCCTCATAATTGAGAATGAAAATACCTCCAGCTATGGTCATTTCCATTCACAAGACAAATCTGTGCTACTGGATTTCCATGTGATGCTCCTATTTATTCAAAAGGAAAAATAAGCCAGATTGAGTTTAAAATCAATTCAAATGATTTTTTCTAAGTATGCCTCTCGTTATTCAACTCTATTGAATATTGTTGAATTTTCTAACACTGTAACTATTTATTCTATTAAAATCATCCATAATTATACTAGAGTCTTATACATTCAACAAACAACGTGAAACAAAGGATCATATGTAGCATTTTATTACTACTGAAGTCAAATGCTGAAATTCCAATTACTAAACGAAGCCACTGCTTCACACTTAACATTTGCAAATGTTCCTTTCTCAGATATGGAAGTGAAGCAAATCAACAAGCGTGCCTCTGGCCAGGCTTTTGAGCTGATCTTAAAGCCTCCATCGCCTGTCTCAGAAGCCCCTCGAACTTTAGCTTCTCCAAAGAAGAAAGACCTGTCCCTGGAGGAGATCCAGAAAAAACTGGAAGCTGCCGAGGAAAGAAGAAAGGTAATGTGTTCATATGCTCTAAGTTCTCTCCCTGCCCTCCCCCCCCCCCTCCCCCCCCCCCCCCCCCACACACACACAACACACGCACCTGTAACAGAGGAGGGAGGTCGCAGGGAACATGAACCCTGGACCTGCGCCATCTCAATATGCACAGCGGGTCTTCCTAGAGAGAGAGCCAGACTAGTTGAGAGGAAACAATCTCAATTGTATTAAGTGCTGTTTTTAAAGGAGCTAACACCAGGGTTCTCAGAAGCTTCAAGGTTCTAATGCCTTGAGCCTCAATGCTGGACTTTATCATAAAAGCATCCCTGGCCCTAGTCCATCACGCATTCACACTCAAGCAAGCACCGCCTGGGGAAACTTTCAGAAAGGGCTAGCAGGGCAGGAGTACTTCTCTACCATGCCCTCATGTATCAGGTCCACGTTTGCACAGGCATGTTTTTCTTACAATGATGAAATTCTCGAGGAGTTCTGGGGTAGTAGTGGGCTACACATTCAGCTGCTAACTGCAAGGTTAGCTATTTGATCCCACCAGTTGCTCCACAGGAGAAGAGGAGGCTGCCCGCTCCAGTGAAGGTTGGAAGTCTCAGAAATCCAAATTAGCAGCGCTACTGTGTCCTAGAGGGTCGCAATGGGTCAGTATTGACTCGATGGCAATGAATTTGAATTTTATTTATTTATTCATGTTTAGGATAAAGTATCGGATCCTCCTTCTGAGATCTTTTCTAACCCTGTGCGGTTTATCTACGGTACCAGGGCCAGGACCTTTCCTCTTGTCTTCTCAGAGTTTCAGCTTCATTGCCTGCCCTTGAAGTTGGTGATTCAAAGACCAGAACCCTCTCCCGGATCTTGAGGTTTCTTCTCCTATGTACTTCTAAGCTTTCGTGGACTTATTTCATTTAGGAAGCATTTGTTTTATCAAATCTTGAGTTTTCCAGTCAGATAGCTAAGAAAAGTGGACATTAAAAATCAGGGTCACTCTGATAGATATCCCAGAGACTCTACTCTTCAAGACAGAAGCTCTGTCTGAACATATGAACTCAAGGAGAGCTCTGGTAATGGCGTGGGTTACACATGGAGCTATTGACCACAGGTCAGCATTAGAACTCAGCACCCACTCCTTGAGAGAAAGATGAGGCTGTCCACTCCTGTAAAGAATTAAAGTAGCAGAACCCCAAATGGAGGGCATTTCTATTCTGTCCTAAAGGATCACTAGGACTCAGAGTCAACTCAAGGACAGTGTGTTTAGTTCACAGTTTTGTACCATTCTCAGTGACCCTGTAAATAGGTGCTGTGAGTCAGTGTGTTAATCCGAGTTTACTAGAGGAACAAATCGAGAGACACTCATATGTGTGTAAGAAGGAGCTGTATATAAAGTGTAATTGTATATTAAGAAAACATCCCAGCCCAGTCCAGATCAAGTCCATCAGTTTGATATTAGCCCATAGGTTTGATACCAGTCTATAAAGTCCTCTTCAGACTCACCCAACACATGCAATGATGCAGAATGCAGGAAGGTCACAAGCCAGTGGGTGGAAAGTCTTGTGGATCCAGTGGTGATGGAAGCATCTTAGCACTGGTGTGGGTCTCCACGTGGCTCCTCCAGTTCCAGGGCTCTGGGTCTATCAATGTAGCTCCATGTGGCTTGTGTTGCAGGATTTCAGGGAGAGTGTGTGTGTCCCACCTCCAGTGAGCTATTTTATCTCCATAAAACCTCCAAATGGGGTCATCAAGGTACAACCTGATTGGCAGGCTAAACTCCACCCCTTCACTCTTAGAGTCTCAAGTTCACACAAGATTATGTAACTACCACAGACAGGATTGACTTTATGGGGTTCATCCCCATGAAGATATTCTTCATTATCTAAAATTAGTATTATGTTAAGTACTTTGTTCCTAGAGAATATCTACCTTTTTTTGAAAACTGCTGTGATTACCAAGAATAATCGTCAGACACAGTATTATTATTTGAATGGAAACTCTTCATCTATTTTTGTTGTTGTTGTTTTATGAAGGTATTATCCAGAAAAAAGAATCAATCAACTCATCCAACTCTCTATGTTGGACAGTTATAGAGAACAAAGATCATCCTTTTCTTAAAACCTGAATTCTCTCACAGGGAGTACATGACGTGTGTGTGTGTGTGTGCACGCGTGTGCTTGTCTACATGTGTGCATGCATGGGTGTGTGTGTGTGTGCACATGTGTGTGATCTCAAATCACACAGCCCAAAGGTCAGATACCCTCAGATTAAATGTTGTGAACCAAAATTTTATTTTGTCTTAACTTTTGTGGTTGAAAAATTTCCCTATCTCCCTGTGATACTACATACTAATCACAATTTTAATTTTCATTAAACAGTGAGGTTCTCCCAATGTCTAATGAATTCTTATGTGCATGCATCTATTGTATTTTTTCTAGTTTTTTTATGGATATCAGTTTAAACAGAAAGAGATAATAGCCCAAATCTACACAGGAAGTTATTTTCAAGTTTTTCAAGTTACTTTAAAAAAAGGCTGTCCTTGATTTTTGCTATTTATAGCCTTCTCCTCAGAGCTATTGTCTCTCACGGCTTTTTTTCCAATGAATATAGCCAATTAAATACACATGAGAGAGTGTGTCCCATTCAGGGGACCTGAACATAGTCATTTTTTATGTATAGATGATAGGTGGACATGGGAAGATACGATAATGTAATCAGAAAACAAAACCAGTGACCAAATAAATTCACACAGAGAAATTCAACATCCTGCTTCTTCATGGTATTGCTGGTACTCCCAGGTAATAACTTTAACTTGGAGAATATTGTTAAAGAGAAAAAAGGATGCCGAGATGATCAAAACTCATTGGACATTCTTATAAAAATTCCCCCAAATGACTAATTACTAATTCTATTAGAATTCTAGTACTCTCATAAAAATGAATTATCAACAATTATACATCTAAACAATCGAATTAAACTAGAATTGGCCACGTCACTGAGAGACGCTTAGAAAGGTAGTCTAGCATTAAGATATCCACAAGTCATGTTCTTTAAACCTCCTTAACATCAGCATTTTTCACATATCAGGTATCATTTATAACATTTCTAATACAGAAATTAATAGTTTATGCCCTAGTGGTAGGTTTTAATTAGAATAAAATATAGCTAATTAATAGAAAGTGCCAACTGGAAAAAAATCATTGATTTAATTCTTTTGAATTCTATTGATTTAATTAGTGCTCGTTTGGAAACTGTTAGTTTTCTTTAAAGAGCCTCCAGAAGGTGCATCTATCTCACTGAGATTTGTTGTGAGTGTAACTAAGACCGCATGTAACTAAGACCAAACTAAAATCCAATTCTACTAGTGGAGACATGACGGAAAATTCAGGAGCCTATGTGACTAAAATGTTTCGGAGTGGATACAGCTTCAGGAACAATTGGATCTGAGTATTGAAGAAATATTATAAGAATTTTTTTTTTGGCCATCTCTTCTTGACTCTAGTCAGTTTTATTCCAAGTGTTGATGTTGATTACTCGCTGTGGGTGGGGGATTTTTCTGAGCCCTGCTTCATCTGTTTTGCTCTCTGAGTATCCGGTTGTATTTTTCTTCGAAGAACTCAAGACAATTTGTCAACATAGGTTTGTGGGTCTCTAACCCAATGGGAGCCCTGGTAGTGCAGTGGCTAAGCATTCAAGTTCTAACTGGAAGGGCCGAACCCACCAACTGCTCTGTGAGAAAATATGTGGGTTGTGTTGGGTTCTAGGTTTTGGAGATATCCTCATTGGCCTTATCTTCTGTGAAGAGAAGTAGAATGGATGGGTAGGAAGGTAGATAATGGGATAAACAAACAGAATGAAATGTCAGATGATTCAAAATAAAGACCAATGGGTTTAGAGTGCTGGATAAATGAGGAAGTCTTGATGGTGCTGTGTGTAAAAGCACTCAGCTGCTACCAGAAAGATGAGCAGTTCTATGCCACCACAGAGAGAGATGTGTCCACCCATCCTGCTCCACAAGCGAGTGATGGCTCAGTGCATTTCTGTAAGATGTACAGCTCTGCAACCCCTAGAGGACTGGTCTATGAGTCAGTATTAACTTGGGGCAGTGGGTGGAGAGGAAGGGCGCTATTTGCAGTGAGTCGTCGGGAAAGGTCTTCTGACTAAGAGGACATTTGAAAAGGAGCATGAAAGGGGTGGGCCTACAGCTCGTCTTCTCCCAGAGCCTCTAGCACAGAGCAGCCGTGCCTGGGCTGTATCTGTATAAGAACCACCCCCTATGTCTTTTCTCCCACAGAATGGTGGGTGGGTTCACAACGCCAACTCATGGGTTAGCAGTTGAACCCTTAACCATTGTGCCACCTGGGCTCTTTGGTCAAGAGAAAAGTGAGCTCAAAGCATCAGAAGGGGGAGTATACTAGGTGTATGTGAAAAATAATAGTGAGGACACTGTGACTGAAAGAGAGGGAGCAATGGTTATGAGTAGGAAGGTAGAGCTGTAAGGACTTTGACTTTGATTTCAAGTCTAATGGAAAGTCACTGAGAAAAATAAAGCCCTTTCAGCATTTGATGAGAGTCATTACAGCTATTGGAGAAACATTTGCTTTTGAAGAGGTGTGAGTAGAAACATAGTGCTAGATGCATAGAGGGCAGGAACGCTTTTTGTCCTAGAACTGATCAACAGAGGTAAAAATACAGAAAGTGTGTTCTTGGGACCATTAGTGCTGCATTACTGAGGGTAAGGGGTCACAAAAATTTAGCAGTAGTAAAAGGCTTCTGAATATGCAATGACCAAAAATTAATTCAAAATCAAATGCATAATGAATCCTAGCTGCTTCTAGCACTACTTGTCCATGTTGCAACCTTCCTGAGCAAAAAGGGGTTGCATGTGGGGAAAATTTAAGCAGCTCTGGACTACAGGATGTGGACAGGGGCTAACGACCAGGGAGGTGAGGTGCTGGATGGTCTTCAATGTCAATGTGGTCACTCAGCCTCCAATAGGAAAGACACAGGGAGTCGCT